GATTTTTGGAGTGATATGTCAGGTATTTTGAAAGTATTGTACCCGAAATTTAGAGAAATTTTAACCATTCTTCTTCATTGTTAAAATTTTGCAAAAGAGAAGATATGCAGTTGCTGAGAGATTTAGATACTTGTATCCTCGCTCCTATTCTCGTTATGATACTTGGTTTTGTGGAGTTAAGAAAAATATCTGAGAATGAGGCACCAATTACTTGGTTTAGGGGGGGATCTATGAGAGAGAGGGGAAGCGAGTAAGTGATCTGAGAAAGAGGCGTGTGTTTTGAATGCGGACACCTGTTAGAGATTGGTCCATGAACAAAAAATTCTCCATCATTTGTTAAATGTATTGGTTTCATGCAGGATAGGCAGATTTTGCGTTCATGGGGGATGGCCATAGGAATAAAAAAAAATGCTGCCAATAATAAAGCAAAAGCGCCTGTGAGAGGTCTGTTGATTGATGAGCAAAAATAGCGAAGGAATGATGAATATGTATGTCAGAAAAATCGAGCAACGAGCGAGAAAGATGCTCAATATGAGAGGTTTCAAATAAAAAAAGGATTAATTATTAAAATAATATATTTAGAAAAACAATTTATTTTTTTATAAAGTTCAAGTTTTTATTAATTTTTAAATTAATAATTTTTTTTTTATTTATTTTTTTTTAAATATATTTTTTTATTTATTTTTTTTTTAAATTTAAAAAAAATCTTAAGTATATTTAAGAATTTAGAAAAAAAGAATATATTTAAGAATTTAGAAAAAAAGAGTATATTTAAGAATTTAGAAAAAAAAGTATATTTAAGAATTTAATAAAAATAGGTATACTAATTAATTAATCAATTTATTTGAATAAACATAACATATATACAATGATAATATAGATATATATATTTTTAAGGAAAAACAAAAATAGTTCTATGTTATCCATAAAGAGGTAAAATGTTAAATTTAAAAAACTTTGATATTGTATCAAAAAATTTCCTTCAAAATCCACACGATATTTATTTATCAAAAAAAAAATCTAAAAATACGCCAATTGAAAGAAAAAGGTAACATTCAAAAATTTCTACCAAAATCCAGACAATCTAAAAAAATAAATAAAAAATTTTAAAAAAAATAAATAAAAAAAAAATATTAAAAAAAAATAAATAAAAAAAAATAATATATGAAAATTTTTCCATGATTTAATCTGTAACCAATTTTTTTTTATCTCATTAACATATATAATATCCAGGTTCGTAATATTTATTAATACAAAACGATACAGATTTCTTCTTCGAAAACCGTGTCCTGAAAAACTATGTAGTCAATCAAGGTAGATATACAAGGCATGCAGCTATTAATATGTTTAGTGGTCTGCAAGGCCCGCTGACTTTCGCCCGCTCACCTATTTATCTATAAATTTTGTTTAACCCGCCTGCTATTTTAAAGGCTTTATTTATTTATTTATTTTATAATGTATTTACAATATTATGAAATAAAACTGTTATTTTTATTACATTAAAGCCTGTTCTACACATTTCGCCTAAAAAAATTCAAAAATTCACCGGCCTACCGCCCATTAATTTTAAAAAATTCTTTAACCAGCTCGTCACCCGCCCAATGTTGAAAATATTTTAGAAAACCCTACCACCCTACCCAAAGTATGAGCGAGCGGACAAAAAACCTGTTATCTTCTGTACCTTGATCTTTAGGTAAATCCTTAATTTGGGACTTCACAAGCGTCTCTTCATTTCTAAAAAATGTAAATTCTAATCCGGTTGTAGATTTAAAATTAACAAATTATGTTTCTTTTACTAATCGTTATCTCTATTTTTTAAATAATTATTCGTATTTTTGGGGAATTTGTAATCCCTATTCCGTTCTATAGAATGAGCGAAGGCCTTTTTATTTATATTATATTATAGTTATGATTGGAAAATAGTTAGTATATACTTCAACTTGATCATACATATTAATTATTGTAAGAATTACATTAAAAAAATAACAAAAATATATGAAAAAAGTAGAATTGGTATATAAAAGTTACTTTCGAGAAGTGATTAATTATCCCAAGGTCATCTTGAGGCATTAATGTATATTATTTTTTTTAAATTTCCATTAAGCCAAATTTAATTGCAGCAATAGATTATGTAACCTTTTTGCAAAACTAGCATATATTGATTCTTTTAAAGGTTGATAGTTTCTTCCTGCACATCTTTCAGTCATATGAGTATCTGTATTTTAACCAGAGATTTATAAGAAGAACCCTCTTGTTATACGCGATATGGTAGTTGATAATTTAATCTCCTTTTAATTAGTTTATTTCACAAACGTTAGCATTTTGGCATGGCAATGTAATATGATTTCTTATAGTTCATTATTTTCTAAATGGATCTTCTCGGTATCTTGTATTTACACTAAATTTAACTTATGACAAGAACATCTTCTGTACCTGGGAAGACAGTCAAAGTTATTTAAATCTAAATTAGCTTACCCAACAGGAGCAGCTGTTGGTTGTGCAAACAATTGAACTCTAATAAAATTTCTCTTAAAATATGTTTCATTTGAATAATAAATTTAGATTTTCTTTAAGTAAGATTTGTCTATCTTCATATTAGGTTCCAGAGTATTTATTGGGCGATAACTTCGTAATGAATAAGGATGACTACCCTTTAACATATATTTAATAATCTGTGTACCTAATTTATCTTTGCTGATACCTTTAAAATTTGTAGTTTTACCAAAGTTTATTTTTATTTGTTTTAATTTATTTTATGTGATGTGGTTGAATTATTTTTCTTATAATATCTATAGTTTCCTTTTTTTAAGGATTGGTTATGATGTGTTCTCTAAAAGAAATTTTTTTTATAAAAGAATACTTAATTAATATTAATAATTATTCATAAAAAGTTAGTTTATTTATTAATTCAATATAATATTAAATAAAACAAAAATTATGGTACGTGTACATCTAGCAAATAAACTTAGAGATGTGTTTTAATAGATTGGCTATGGATGACTTGGATGTTGATATATACATTTTTGGAAGATATAGGAGACGTTAAGTCGGCAACTAGCCTTCACTTTGTGAAACCCAAAATATTTTTCGAAACTTAGCCAAGGTGTTTTTACATTTAAGTCCGTTTTTTGGTAATAGTTGTAGAAGGGGATAATACAATTTCTATTTCATCATTTTGAATCAATTGAATGTCATCCTCATCAAATGACAAGTCAGAATCTGAATTCATATTATATTCTGTATCTGTCTGATTCATAGGTCTGGTCAATCTTTAATACAATATTAAAAATTTAAAAAAAGGCACGCGTAATAAATTTAATTTCAAATTAATTTATTATAACATTAAAAAAAATATTACTATTTAAATAAATTTATTAAGAGATATATATAGATATTTTAAAGTAACTAGTTACTTTTGGCAACATTCCAAGTTTGGCATGGAAAGAAGTTATAGTCGTAAAAATTATTTATCTAGACTAATGATTCATTCATAAAAGTGCATATTTAAGCTTAGTTAAATGCAAATCAGCTGATGACGCCATTTACACTATTTTGATTTACCCTATGGGATTTTGACTCATGTTAAACAATAGCTTCCATGCAAGTCTCATCTCTTAGATAAATGTTATTTTAAGTAAATTTCTTATTTTTATAATAGAATATTTTCTTTATTAATATCATGAATATCGTCAGGTTTATCTATATGGTTTATTATCAAGTACAATCATTTTGGGGATATATTTTGAATAACTATTTTCACAGAATTGGTTTTTAGTACATTGATCTGTTAAAACTAGTTTATTATTTATGAATATCTCAGTTTAAGTTTTATACCTTTGATTTATTATATTGTAATGATTATTTCACAAAATCCGATCTAACCTTTTCCTAAAAATCTGGAACCCATTTATCAGCAGATTGTTTTATATCCTCCGAGGTATAATAATTTAAGGGATGGATCTGTACCATCCATTTTTAATTTTAATCCCCTTCGGTATGTATGATTATAAATATATTTCAAAATTTTCGCTCTGCAAAACACTAGCATCATTATGAATGGATGCACATAAGTGTCCAAGTCTCATAAAACTTTGTAAAGCCCCTGGAAACTTAAGTTTTTTTTTAGATATGGTCCTATTTTTTTAAAATGTGGTGAGATAGAATTTTCATTTTGCATATTTTAAATAAAATTACTTCTTCTTTTAGCTAAAAAAAATTTATACGCATAAATAAAATGTTATATTTCCCACATTTTTAAAAGGACCATTAAATAATATAGTTTATAGACAGACAAATCCATTAGATAAATATTATTTTGGGAAAAATTTTTTATTTAGATTTCGAATCATGTTCAAGCCAAAAAAAATAGTAAATGATCGTTGGTCGTGATAAAACTTTTATATAACTTTTCAATAATAAATTTTTAAAAATACAATTTTTTTTATATTAATTTATTCATAAAATTGTTAACGATCAAGATTTTCAGTTCTAAACATTTTTTTTCAAAGAAAAAGAAGAGAAATTTTTTTCAAATAAAATATTGATTTGAAAAAATAATTTTATTTTTTTAAAAAAATAATAATATTTTAATATGTTTGTGGGAAAATTTTAAATTTACAAAAGCTTTTCAAATAATAATAATAATAAAATTAATGATTTATAGAAAATAGTGCGCGTATTTTAGAGGTCCCAAATAAAAATAACGAATTTCAAACAAAATTAGTAAAAAAAAAACGCTAATAAAAAATCGCACACATCATGCCGCCAACTCCTCCCCCAGTATTCTAATGACGATAGCATCTATACACCCCTTCAATTTTAATGTCGATCTTGCGTCATCCCCCCCTTTACCCTCCTCCTCATCGTAAAGGTGCATGTTTAGTATACATTTTATCTCCTCTCCATTTAAAAAAAATAAAGATATTCTATACACACTTACTCATTGTTGAATTCTATTTCTACTCCAAAATTTTTAAATATTAACAGTTTGCGATATTTACTTGTATGACATTTCCGTACTGAACCAACGCGCCTAAAAGTTTGATACCCTCATTTTCGTTTTGTTTTTTCTCCAATTCGGCGGCTTGCTATAGATTATATATTAATTTTTTTAAATGGATGTAAGTAATTTACATTTAAAATACTAACATCCTAATTTATTTAATTTAAAGAGAATGGAAGGGAAGGGAAAGAAAGATAAATTGAGGTATAAAGTTTATTCATGATCATGATAAAATAAATATGGTTTTTTTATAAATTAGTAAATTATACATCTTGTTATAGCAAAAGTAGGGGTGAGGTGAGAAGGATAAGATTTAAGAAAAACCTGTTATTTCGATAATTTTATTGGCTTATTTTGAAAATAATACCTTTGCCTTTAAAGAATTAATTTAACTGAAAATCAATAAACAATAGGAAATATCAAAAACTATGAAATCTCATGGAGGACTTCCAATCCAACAACCCATTTAATTTCTTAAATAATAGCAATAATTCGAAAGTAAAATAAGTTATTATATTAACTAATGTATACCTACAACACGAATTTAAAGTATTATCTGTATTTAATAGATTCCCAAGCTAAAACCTTATCTGTGAGCTAATTAGTTTTTTAAGTTCGAAAATTTATCATAATTTTTTTGTTAGATCTAAAATAGAGCGACTCATATTTCGATCCGCTTCAGCTGACCCAGTTATTTTTATGTACACAGGTGTGGCGAGCTATTTTTATTTGAAATTGAACATTGGTGATGAAAGAAAAAATGGATACTTTCTAATCAATGAGGGAAAGATAAATTAACAAGTCAGATCCCAAATAATAAAAAAAAGGGGTTTTATTTATTCTCATTAACAGTCTCCCTTTTTGAAATTATTTAACAAATAATAAATATTATTATAAAATTATACGTGTTAAAAATCAATCAATATTTTATTCATAGTTTGACAAATATCCCTACCCCCCCCCCTTACTTTAGTTTAATCAAACACTGATTAATTCGTAAACATATGTCTAAATACTATAAACAAAATATTTTTTATTTACAATTATGGGGTTAGGGAAGCAAAATCATTTTGTTTTCTCGATATACACTGAATAAATTTATTACAGAAAACATTATAATGTATATGTTGACCACAGTTAATACACCGGAATGCAAAAATATCTGTAGCATCAAAACACTATAGTTTATTATAAAACATATTTTATTTATTCAGTTGTAATGCTTACTTTTAAAATTTAAAATAATATTTTAGTATAATGATTTTTTTATACATAAGTGGGGGAAGTGATAGATAGTTAAGTCAAGGTTAGGCTACAATTAAGTTTAAGATAAATAATAATCATAAGTTTTACATAAATCATTTTATATATAACTTTTATGCATATTATTTATTTTTTCTTCATCTTTAAAATGAATAAGTAATATATTTCTGGTTTGACCTATAATTATATTAAAATAAAGAAAATAAACATTCAATAAAATATTCGTAAAAACAAAATTGTTTAAAATGTTAAAATTTTGAAGTTCGACAGAACCGATCAATTTTATTTATCTAAATCGATATTGAGAAGCTATCAATAAATTTTTTTTACGAGAAGTGCGATCTAAAATTTAGCAATATCCAATTTGAAAAATTTCGTTAAACCGGGTCGGGGGCGTGAGACAGGACCCGGCTAATTTTCGTATTTAAATGTTCGAAGTAATAATAAAAGATCAAACATTAATGTTATTATCGAACTTAAAATTGTTATTTTAATCGATTTTCCTTAATTAAATTCCGGTTTACGCTTTAAAATTTATAAATAAAAAAAGAATATATAATAATAAATTTGTATAAGGTAAAAAAAAAAAGATGGATATAAAAATAATAATTACATAAAATAATTGTGAGCGTTCAATTTTTTAAAAAAAAGGTTTTAAATTTAATCAAATCAAGTATTTTTAAAGTTTCAGATACAATATATTAAATCGATATTGAATTTACAAAATTTCAAAATTTGATGGTGTTAAAATCTCCTATTAAAGTAAATAAAGAATATATTTTTCTTTATGAGTCATAAGTTTTGATCGATTGCGGTTCTGGTATATAAACCAGTGGCGTCGATGGTGAAATAAAATCGTATGAAGGCAAGGGGTATAAGAATATGGGGGTTAACTAGTGCAGAGCATTCATTTGAATCGGCCTATAATATTATATATTTGAAGTATTTTTTGAATAAGCCGATGATAATGCAAGCAACAGTATGGTCAGCTAAGGAACCCTAAAAATTTTTTAAAAAAGTGTTCATCATCTTAGTCTTTGGAAGATAAATGTATAAAGATGGTCTAATATGTTAATCGTATTTAGGGATTTATGCATAATAACATGATTCCAATATATTATTTAGAATTTTGTTATATCTAACAAGTTCGTGTTCATTTCGATCTCTATCCAACCGAAAATTCTCAAACCTGTCATAAAATTGAAAAGCCAACAAACCTTGGCACTTAGAAAAATCTAATGTGGCGTCCGACCGTATCCAGAAAAATATTTAATCACAAAAAGGACGATATAAGTCGAATAACTGAAAAAAACATTTAAGTTGCAATATTTCTATTCAGGCTTGTAGCCATGGTGGGTAGACTCCCCAAAATATTTCTCCCCCAAAACCTGGCCCCTGGATAAAATTCTTGGTCCCAATAAATCCTTCCAGCCCCCAAATTTTGAAAAATTATTAGTTAATTTTAATTTGCCATTAGCAATGTAAATCGAAATATATAAAAAAAACAAGTTTTTTAGAAAAATTTTAGTTATTAAAAATTTTATTTAGCTAATAATTGTATAAACAAACTAAAAAGATTAACTAAAAAATATTAAATTGCTCATTAACCATTAGAAAAAAACAATATCCGCCTTTTTTATTCCTCGATAAAAAGGCCCTAATGTTGGTGAATTTATCAGTTTCCATTATGATTTTTCTCAACCTATTCTTTTAGCGGGATTTAATTCCTGCTATTCATGTGATATTACTTAAACGTTAGACTAATGCGTCAACTATTAATATAATATTTATAAAAAAATGGAAAGGACGATCTTACATGAAAAGGATAATACTTTTTTAAAATATCTATTTTCCTAGTAAGTTTAAAAGTAAAAATCAAACTACGATCTTTTTAAAGAGGACGAATATATTACTAGGAAGAGGATGAATAATTTTTCAAACTACCAATTTTCCTGGTGGAGTATAACTGAGTACCCCAATTTTCCTGGTGGAGTATAACTGAGTGACCCTGGCACCGGCAGGTACTCAGGCAGATACCTTACATTATAATTACTTATTACCACCCATAGTTATTCAATATTTTCATTTTTGATCTTCCAATTGTTTAGAGAGTCATTGAAAGATACAAAAATAAAATTTAATGGCATATTTTAAAAAAAAGTAATCCAAAATTATTCGATTTTATGTTAAAATTTAAAAAAAAACGTGTTCTAATATAGTATTATTTTATATATTTATATTTATTTTTACAAATTTTCAATAAAAATAACAAAAAATTTCTGAGTGCCTAACTATTTGTTTCCTTTCAAAAAATATTGGCCCTCCCAAACAAACAGTTCGTCTCTCCCCTAATGGAAATTCTTGGCTACCGGCCTGTTCCTATTTGTGCCAAAAATTCCTATAATATATAAGGGTTTGTTTAAAAATATACGGTTCGGGCAAATCCGGTTTTGAAAATATGAGTTTTGCTATAGATTCTTCTGTTTTCAAACTCAAAAATATAAAAATGGTGATTCTAAAACCGTGATGTTATCGTTTAACGATGAATTATACGCATCGCTTGAGTGACATCGCGGTATTTCACGCTTGCTTTAAACGAGGCCCTAAGTCTTAAAAATAACGAATTAAAATGGTTCTTATAATATTATCGGACATTTTTACTAAATAGATAGCTCCCTTTCGGCTCCGGGTTCAGTCCATATTTGATAATTATTATATAAAATATCATATAAGCGATAAATTGTGAAAACTTGTAATTTTTTGATCAGAGCTGGATCAATTGTTGCTATGTTTATCAAAGGACTATCATTTTCTCTTGACACTTTCCAGTATTGTTTTTGAGCAGCATATCTATTTAGCGGCATAACCTTGAATAAGCAGTCTGGAAAATAATATAATTCAATATCGTCAGAATATTTAGAAAAAAATATATCACCTCTAAATTTTGATGGGGGATTTTTTAAGTCACCCGCATTCGGTCGCAAAACACATCTATCGTCGACCAATCTAAAATTATAATTTAAATGTATGTAAAATAATTTGGTTTGAATGAAAAAGACAATTAAAGAGAGAGATTCAGTTAAAATAAAATAAATAATTATTTATTATTATTACCCTAATGTTGAAATAAAGCCACTGACTGACCCTTCTGAATATAATGATATAATATCACCGATATGTAAGAAGCTATTCATATCCTATCAATTCAAATTTTAAAATTTAAATCGTCTGCTTTTTAAAACATATGTTATGCCGGGTATATCTAAATCACGAATTATTATTCATATGATTAAATAAAAATAAATGTTATTTTAAATATATTTTTTCAATAAATCTAGTTTATTATATTGATTACTAAGTTTTATGTATTTCATTTCATTATATTTATTTTATAATATATATAATAATAATTAAAATATAAATAAAATCTTTATATATATACATATGTATATTATTTTATTTTTTTTTCGCAAAAAATATTTTTATATATCAATTTTTCATATGTTAGATCAATCATTTCTTTTTCAACTCATCAACTATTTCCTCATCTAATTATTTTTCTATCAATTTAATATGATAAAATAAATAAATAATAAAGCTTGTAATTTCATAGAAATTTAAGATAAAATATTGTAATCTTTATTTTATCATTTTTAATATTAAAGTCTTACTTACTTAATGAAAATAATAAATAAGCCACCCCCATCTACTTAAATTTATTTAATGTTGGTGTATAGATGACCGGGGAATGGGGGTGATAATTTGTCTCCATGTATCTATTAGGGGGCTAATCTCCTAGTAGGTGGATGGGAATTAAAAATTATTTGTAAATAATCTTGACTTGTCCTTTTTTCTCTCTCAAAAAAATGCTAATGCAGTCCTCCAACCATTTGCTGGTAGTCAATATTTGTGTGTGTTTATAGTTACTCAGAGTGGAAATTAAATCCAATATACGTTTGTTACATATATAAATGTTCACATTTTATTAATAACCAAATCGTTAAAGCTCTTAAGTATGTAATTCAATATATTTTATTTCTCTAAAAATATTTAGAGGACCTAATGTTTTTAGGGTGCCTATTTTAAAATATTCAAGGCTAAATCAGCTGTTTCTTATTCTTTAAATAATGTTGCAACTTGCAAAAAGCAGGTCAGCTTATTTGTTTCCATATTTCTACACATCCAATATATATAGCTTTTTATTGCATATCAAACAGCTCTCATTTTTATAACACATTTATTCTTTTTTGGGTCTAGAGTTCTAACACTATGTCCAATATAATAACTTACAAATAATGCTAAGGCATCAAAGTCGGTTTATTATCGATCATTGTTTTATATTAGGCTATAAACAAGCTAACTTTTAAAAGCAGTTTCCTTCAAGTTTCTATCGATTTCTTTATTTAAAATAAAGTTGACTTCTTTATTAATCAATTGTTCTTTAAAAACTATTTTGATATTAGACCAGTTAGTATTGGGGTAAACGAAAAAATTTGAACGTTGTTTAGTAAGTTGGAATATTGCTGATATCCGAAAATAGTTAGAATAATTTTCAGTATGTCTTAAAAACCACGATTTATGTTGAAGTCGAATATTGTCAATTGAAAAATAACGATATCACTGACATAGGAGAAAACTAAAATTCTAATGTTTAATGTTAACTGGAATTAAATTTCAGACACTCTGCATAGGTTATACATAAGTTGAATACTTTATTTTATTCACCCATATAGAATTTTTACGAGCCCATAGAAAGCAAGCAATAATGTCTCAGTTAAAGAATAAGTTTATAGAACACTATAATTTTCTCGGTGATTTAAAAAATAGATTCAGTGATATAATTATTTGCAATTTGATTCTACCTCCCTTAATGGTAATAATCTTCTAAGAATAAAGAGCGTCCAGTCTCAAAGTTTCATTATTATACCTGTCAAAAACTTATCTATTTTATGGTTTGCAAAATAGAACACGAATTAACTCAATTCTGAAAAATTTTCGGATGATTACATCGATTTACTGAACATAATCTTTATCTATCTTCAAAATTTATTAAATAGAGATCTAAAAACATCTTAACCGAAGCGTACTACGTAGAGGGCATCTAATTCCAGCTCCGTGTAACATATTCCCTTATGGTATTCCTGTAATTTACAATAAATAAAAATGCAGATAAAATTTTATCAGGGGTAGATCTAAAATTGATCTGTTCCTTATTCGGTCTTCTAATAATTCCCGACTTCATGTTTATATTTCCGTGTTTTATTAAAATATATTAAATTAAATGTAAAAATAGGTAGAATTTTACACTTGACACCTTTTTTCTCCCTTTTTTAAATACACTATACCAATCGACCAAAATATTATTCCAAAATTGTAACAAACTCGCAGGGTACATCACCCGATATAGGCAACAATCAGACAAGGACTTCAAAGATTTATGAAGGTATGTATTATATAGAGAAAGATAAACTGGTCTCTACTTAATTAACAACAATAGATATTCCTACCATAAAAGATTACTATTTGGTGTCTTGTCTGCGTTATATTCCAACGTTTTACTGATAATTCTAAAGGACTATTTCATAAAAGGTATTTATTTATATGATTTACCAATACAATACAAGCAGCGCTATGGCGATCATGGCAAGAATAGGTAAAGAATACAGAATTCCTTACACTCTATTTTCTTCTATCTCCAATTCCTTACTTTTAAAAGTGTATTAAATAAATATAATTATATCTGGGTCTTTACTTCCTAAGAATAGTTTGGCCAGTCACAGCTCTTTGTTCGTTAGTTCCAAAATTCAGTTATGTGGGTTTTCAAATCTACCACCAAATGGGGGGGGGGGCGTGCCCATACTTAGAGGAAATGCCAAACCCATTAAATAAGGAACTTTCAAAACTCTGTGAACATGGTTAAATTTTATTAAGTTATTAACAATATTAAAGTTGTCAAAATCGGTGATAATTATTTTGCAATTTGCAAGATTACTCTAGCTAGTTTTTGCATTAGGGGAATTCCATTTGTATATATTGTCCGAAATTTATAAATTTAGCATTTATTTAGTTCACAAAAGACCTGTGGGAAATAAATTCGGATATGTCGAAATAGCCAACAACCTCTTTAAACGCTAGGCGTTAAGATTAAACACGTGTGATGTTGGGTATTAATATTGCTGACATCTTAACTCGTCAATAATAATATTTTATATTGCTTTTTCTTAAATTGGTCTCATATCTATAATAAAACTATTCACAAGTCTATAAAATAAATATTATAAACTATATGTATATATAGAATAGATATAACTGTTGTAATTGTGTATTTTTATATTATATATATAACTTTAGATAATATCCAATGTCAATAAAATCAAATATTGTTTAAATGTATATTCGTATATACTTAGTTTTATATAATATCTTATGACAAAATTATATATTATAAATATCAAACATCAAATCACTAGTGTTTTAGTGAAAGAAATTGGATGTTGAAAAAATGAATTCCTTTGTTTAAATATATTTGTTATATCTTATTGAATAAAATGAGTTATACTCAATGATATTATATCATTGGTTATACTTTAATATGGATATATTATTATGGTGATATTTTACAATTAATTCAGAATTGGAAATTGGTCATTCTTAACAATAACTAATACTAAATAGGCTCCTGTTTGTGTTGAAACACGGTTGACCCTATAATTGCATGATACTCGTATCGTTAAAATAACTAGTTATTTTAAATTAATATAACTAATAACATTAAATTACTTTTGAAATAAAATAATATAAGTAGTAACTGTAACTATTTACATTTTTTAGAATATAATGACAAAATTGACTAATTACTTTAAAAAAATAGATATTTAAAAATATATTTGACATACGAAAATATAAATGAACCTTAGACAATAGCAATTAATTTAAATTGATTTAACATCTGTTTTCTATTCTCTGTTGATGGATATGGATTTATTTAATTCACAAAAGACCTGTAGGAAATAAATTTAGATATATCGAAAAATAACCTCTTTAAACGTTAGGAGTTAAGATTAAACGCGTGTGATGTTGGGTATTAATATTGCTAACGTCTTAACTCGCCAATGTTAGGTTTTAAAGACTTTTAATACAAGTTTTAAAATAATATTTAATATCGCCTTTTATTGAATTGATCTCATATCTATAATAAAACTATTCACAAGTCTATAAAATAAATATTATAAACTATATGTATATATAGATATAAATGTTATAATTGAGTATTTTTATATTATATATATGTAACTTTAGATAATTTCCAATGTCAAAAATATTGTTTAAATGTATATTCGTAGATTATATACTTAGTTTTATATAATATATTATGACAAAATTATTTATTATAAATATCAAACATCAAATCACTAGTGTTTTAGTGAAAGAAATTAGATGTTGAAAAAATGAATTATTTTGTTTAAAATATATTTTGTTATATATCTTATTGAATAAAATGAGAGTTAATTTTAATATGGATATATTATTATGGTGACAATTTACAATTACTTCAGAATTGAAAATTGGTCATTATTAACAATAAATAATATAATACTAAATAGGCGCCTGCTTTTGAAACACGGTTGGCCCTATAATTGCATGATACTCGTATCGTTAAAATACTAGTTATTTTAAAAATTATATAAATAATAACACTAAATTACTTTTGAAATAAAATAATATAAGTAGTAACTGTAACAATTTACATTTTTAGAGTATAATGACAAAATTAACTACTTTAAAAAAAATAGATATTTAAAAAAATATTTGACATACGAAAATATAAAAGTCAATAGCAATTAATTTAAATTGATTTAGCATCAGTTTTCTATTCTCTGTTGATGGATATGGATTCATTTAATAAATCACAACTTACTATAAACGATATATAAATATATAAATTTACTATTTAATTATTTTTCAATATAAATTCGCTTAGTAGTTAACATATAATATAATATAATGAATAGTATCGATTGGGTATATCAATCAAACACTATAACTATTTATCACCTCACTTGTCAATTAATTATTATTCAAAGTGTTATGATATTTGTTGATATGACCGATTAATACTAACCTTTAAATTGTTTTTTTTTATGTTTATATAAATTGATTTTTTTATAAATTGTGAAAATTGATTTTTTTATATAAATTATTATTAATATGTAAATTGATTTTTTGTTTGTAAGCATGATATTTTTAGTTTTATAGAGGTAAAATTTTAAAATAAATTAAATAAAATTAAACTCGTAACTTTGAATATTCTTAGAAAACTTAATGGTGGCAGCGATGGGATATGAACCAGTGTCTCCGAGGAGACTGGTGCCTCTTCCGCTACATATTCGAGGAAATCGTAAATAAATATATAAATATGAAACAGATTCCCAATAATAATGTTAATATAAATATTGAATTTCCAATATACTCAGGCAATGACGATCTTTTTTTGAGTAGATTCGAAGACATCTTCAAGGACACTCAGATCTCGGACATCGAAAAAGTAGGTTCCTTTACAAGAAGACTACCAGATGAGGTATATATCAAGCTCAAATCGATATGTTCACCTACCGACTTCATCCCATCGATATTGATTGAAAAATTCAGGTTATTACACCCGAGGAAATCTACAAGTTCCAACTTATTATTATTTAACGCAGCTGTACAAGGTAAAAACGAAAGTTACATCAATTGGGTTAGATTATGCATTTAAAAAAATGAATGTTTGATAAGTGATAGTAGAGTTATTGAAAAAGTAAAAATTTCATCAATTAGCAAAAATATTAGGCATAAAAATTACGTTAAAAGAAAACATTACATTAGCAGAAGTTCTTACTTTAAGAGATGATTTTGAAGAGTTAGGATTGAAAGAAAATATAATTGCTAAAGTTGAAAATATTTCTTTAAACGAAAAAACAGAAGATGATACAACCGTGAAACATGTAGAAAGGCAAAGAGGCAGGAAAACAGAAGAAAATAAACAATTGGTGAGATATGGAGACCATGACGAACGACAAAATTTACAATCTTATTACGATAACAGACAACGATAGACAACATGAGGCCATGACTTTCAGAAATAATTATCAAGAAAATAATTATAACCCCAGATATCAAGGAAATAATTACAACCCTAGATATCAGAATTATAACGCGAATTATTACAACATCATGAGAGCAAACTATCTAGGATCGTACAATAATTCTTCGAGATTTGATAATAGACTAGTTATAATAACAATAACTATAGTAATTATAGATTTAATAATGATTATAATTACAGATATAACAGACATTATAACGATTGAAGATTTATTCAGACATAACGTTAATCATAATATTGAAAATCAAGGAAGAAATCAAGCAATTGTAAATATCATAACAATGATAATAATCAATCACGATATACAAATAAAGTAAACACTGTAAAAATAGAAGAGATAAAAGAAGATGATAATGACAAACTAGAAAGAAAAGAATATAATTTATACAATTTAGACATAAACAATATGGATACCGATAATAATTACACAGCTAACGATGCATATAAGGTTACAGTATATTTGAACGACATGCCTATTTTGATGCAGATCGACACCGGTTCAAGGTATAATATCCTACCGATTCATATCGCGAAAAAGATTGGAGTAAAAATCTTAAATAAATCAGATATTAAATTAACTGGATATGATGGAAACACAATAAATGTATTAGGTACTACCAAATTCAAGGCAAAATTCGAGGACAAAAGTCAAATCTTAACTGCTTGTGTAGTCCAGAGTGATAAGATTGCACTGTTAGGAAGGACCTGGATAACAGTTTTTGGGAATATACTAGATAAATTTGTGAATATGTTCGAGGATGATTATGATAATACTATACAAGAATTAATTAAGCAATGCAATTTTAAACTTAACAAAAAACCAATGCTTCGCAGCTATGTCAAATTACGTTTAAAACACGATGCCACACCGAAAATCATACCGCCAAGGTGTATACCATATTCTAGAATTGATTTGATAACAAAAGAACTTCAAAAGTGGATAAACGATAAAATTATTGAACCTGTTGTAGATGTTAGATGGGCTAGTCCTCTCACTTCCGTTTATAAGAGCGATGGCTCACTTAGGCTCTGTACCGACTTCAAAAATACTATCAACCCTGCTTTACAAGATTTCAAGTACCCTATACCACGTATAAATGATTTAATCGCAAAATTATCTAAAGGTAAAAAATTTACCAAGATAGATTTTAAAAACGCGTTTCTCCAAATGCCCATACACAAAGAATCAAGAGATTTTCTTACGATATCGACACATAAGGACTATTATAGGTTTACGTGACTGTCGTTTGGTTTAAAAACTTCGCCGGCAATATTCCAACAAACTATGGATAACATTTTCGGAGATTTAAAAGATGTTATATTCTACATTGACGACTTGTTAATTACAGGTGATAACGATGAGACACATTTGGAGAACATTAAAAAAGTATTCGATAAAGATCATCAAGTATGGATTAACCCCCAATTTCGACAAAAGTTTATTCCTACAAGATAAAATATGCTTTTTAGGACATAATATAGACAAACATGGTATACATCCCAACGATGATAAGATAAAAGCTATTTCTAACATGCCGGAACCGAAGATAAAAGATGAATTGGCAACTTTTTTGGGGATGGCAAGCTCAGCGTCTACATGAGTGGGAGGGGTGGGAACAGTTTGCATCCTATTTTTTGAGGGGTAGGGGGTAATCTGCTCTAATGGGGGCAGGATAAATTTTTTGGAGGGTTATCTATTAAATTTTGAGATGAAATAGGACAAAATTTATTGCTGTAAAAATTAATACTTTTATTATAGTATTATAATGCAATTCATCGACCGAATCTATATATTGCAAACAATCATACACATTGTTTTCCAAATAAAATAACCTTTTAAATGTAATTATAAAGGTTTAGATATTTATCTTAGCAAGTTCATAATGCCATAATAATTAATTCATTGTAAAAATGGAGGTTTTAATTGAATTTATTATCTAAAAAATATACTCCGCCTACGTTAAATTTTTATAATCCGGATCTACCAATAGGCATTGCAACTGATGCTTCAAAGAAAGGTTTAGGCGCAGTCTTATTTAATATTGAAGGTGATGGCAAAGAGAAACCCATTGCTTTCGCGTCAAGAGCTTTATTAAAATCAGAGTTTAATTACACTAATATAGAGAGGGAAGCTTTATCTGTTATATACGCGGTAAAAAAATTTTAAGAATATTTAATTGATACGAGATTCACAATAATCACAGATCACAAGCCACTCGTTTATATATTTACGAAGGGACTCAAGGATAATTCATCCATATCAATGCGACTTCAAAAATGGAGTTTGGCTATGGGAGCTTATGACTTTACGATAATTCATAGACCCGGGAAACGAAATGTAGTACTGGATTTTTTGTCAAGATTACCCCAAATGAACACAGAATAAATGGTACAAGAGATAGATGATAAAATAATTGATGACAAATTTTGGGACTTACCAATAAATTTTAAAAGAATAGTTCAAGAAACTAATATTGATATCGAATTAATGGAGGTAATTAACAATATAAAGAATCATGAACAGATAAAGAATAAAATATATAAAAATATAGAAAGGAACTGAGCTTAATTAAAGATTGTCTTTTTAAAGAGAATAGGATCATTATACCGAAAAATATGAGAAAGGAGATATTACAGGAATTACACAAAGGACATCTTGGTGCAGGGAAAACGAAATTGTTGGCGAGAGATTATTTGTGGTGGCCTGGTTTAAACGCTGAAATAGATCAGGAGGTGAGAAACTGTGATAAGTGTAATAAATATGCGGACAATCCTCATAATGTATAAAATCCATGGGAAACAGCTGTAAAAGTGTTCGAACGCGTGCACATCGACTTTGCACAGTTTGAAGGTAGCAATTTCTTGGTATGAGTTGACGCACTTAGCAAGTTTCCTATCATCAGAAGAATGAGAGATATAACTACTGAGTCTACAATAAAGAATTATTAAAAATAATCAGTTTGTTTGGTATACCCGATATGATAGTCAGTGGTAATGGTACGAATTTGCAAGTAGCTTGTTCAAAAAATTTGTAGTGATCATGGAATTGATCACATTTTCACCGCGCCTCACCACAACAATCTAATGGTCCGTGTGAGCGAATGATAAGATCAATGAAAATAGTAATAATAAAATAGTCTTAGATAAAGCTAAGAACCAGATGGGATTTAATTAAACCTCAAGAAGATAAAGTGAATGAATTTAATCGCAATTTATCGTCAAATCGAAATATCACAAATGGAGACAAAATTTAGTATAAAACCTTCAAGGATAATATATGGGACAAAGGCACGGTAAAATGTAAAAATGGGAATTTAATATTTGAAGTGGATACAGGAGACAAAATTATTAGAAGCCATTTAGACCATTAAAAAAAATGTCTACGAGTAGCACACCTCTTGACGAAACGACACATTTGAAAACAAATACTGAAAATGCAATACCTTTTACTGTAAATTTTAGAAGAAATGATGATCAAAATTTAGGAATACAAGAACAGAGTCTTGTTAGTCAAAGACCAAGCAGGAATATAATTTTGCCCAAAAAATTTGATAATTTTATAATGAATTAAAGACTAAAAAAAAAATATATATATATATATAATAAAAAATTTTTCTTTTAAATAAACTTTCAATAGCAAAAGTTAATGAAATATACTAATGATGACAATATAACCATCAAGAAAAGTTGACTGCACGATAAGATTCACATGCAATAAAAACCTGATTGGAGATCCTTTTTTAAAGGGAGGATGTTTTTTAAATAATCTGCATTAAAGTCACAGGCCTATTCATAGTATGCGCAATAATAGTATGAAAATGCATAGCGATGCTTAATCTCTGCATTAGATATTAATAAAATGAGCCCGTCATTTTAATAGTGAGGATAATGAGTTATAACTCATCAAAATAATTAATCAAATATTTTAAATTGCGGTAAAGTTTAAAGATAAAAATTTAAATTCATGATGATGCGCAAGGAATATTATTAATTAGAAACAACAAAAGGTTCCATATGCAATTATTCATATATATATTTATATATATACATATATAATAAAAGCGTGATTAGGGATGATCCGTTCTGGAGATCACCCTATTAATAAATGAACATGATTATATTTAAAAATTAGCATTATATACTATATACTAAAGATGCTAATGCCAATGTATATGTAACTGTAACTTATATGATAGAAAGTAAAACACAAATGGGTTTTAAGTAATGTCATAATAAAATGTATATTGATTTAAAGAGTGTTCCTCGCAGAGTATGTTTATCCACTTTGTGTTTTGTATCAATTCCGGGAGGGTAGGTCAGCTGGGATTTTGTTAGTTGGAATCTATGATATGGAATGGATTGGCTTGCTTGTGTAAAGAACGATATGACAATTATTGCCATTACCTTTGTTATTATTTCAAGTGTGGATGATCTGCACCATCCTTTTCTCATAGCGTAGTACACTGTCGTCGAGTCTGAATGTATTGTTGGGAGGATGATGTTTGATGTGTTGGTGATTAATGGGACCATCATCACTGCTAGTAATTTTTTTCCATTGATGTGTAAAATATAGTCCGTGGGCATTTGGAGTAAGAAGCAGGCTTCAGCTATTGTAAATGATTCCATTTTCCCCCTAATCACTAAACCCAAATGTGTATCGGATGCATCCGCGTAAGTGTATCCCTCAAAGGGTATGTGCATTGGGATGTTCATATGTATTCCAGTATGATCATTGCTTTTATCAGTATTTGGTAGAGGATGGCCATTCTGGTGTTGTTCATGTAGCGAAATATGGAGTGAACTCTGAACATTCCTGTTATGGTATATGTGTAGTTGAGCGTGCATAACTTGTGTAGTGTATATCTTTTCTAAGTCTTGGCCTAATATTGAATGTAGTTCAAGTATTTGTATGCAAGCTATTAAGTCTTGCATTATTGTCGGCGGATATCGTTCTAAGCCTAAATTTTAATTTTATTCCTAGTGGGTAATTTCCTGCATAGGTTTAAGTATTGACTTGGCAGTGTTTAATGTGAACCCCCCATAGGTTTAGTTTTAGGATTAGGTTGGCAGTAGCCTGATCGACGTCATTTTCAAAAAACCCATATATTAATATATCGATCAAGTATACCTTTGATTGCCTTATGTTTTACTGCAGGCTAAAAGTACGATGGACTGAAGTACGCATGGTGAGGAACTGGCTCCCATTGGCAGAACTTTGTATCTATATTTAATCGTTCCGCATTTCACTCCGAACATGTTTCTTTCTGGCCTTTCCGTGTAATGGTATGCTAAAAAAGGCCGATTTCAGGTCTATTTTTGTCACCAATTTGAAACTTCCTGGATATTGCTGGTATTGTTAATTAGTATCCAATGAAGTTATTAATCAAGATGCTGAAATCCAAAATTATTAGTGGTTTTCTATCTGACTTGAGATTCATGCACATGGGCGAACAGATTGTGGATTCGTTTACCTCTAGAATCCTTGCTGTCACCATTTGCTTAATGAGGATTTTATATCGATTTGGCGCTTTGCGTATGAAATATTTCTTCTTAAGTCTTCCATCCTTTCCAGGTCTGCTCACCGAGTTATTCGCAAAAAGTCAAAAATAGGCCCGGTTAGGACAGAAGAGGATGATCGGGATATACCGTCTTCACCCTGTATCAATTATCTGATGTTTCGAACATAGGACATAATAATAGTTGGTAATGTGTAATCTAGATTCTCTAGATTCTCAGGTTCGGCTGTCGAGCCCAGTTCAGATTCGGCGGTGGTCGTTAAAGAGTCGAGTTCGAAATTGTGGAGGTTCTGATTGTTATCGTCATTTAGAAAATATTCTAGATCCTCTTCGAAATCGATATTGTTCCCTTCTGCCATCTCGATGATGTCATCTGCGTAGTTCGCTGCTTCGTATTGTCCTTCCACGATGTCGATAATGTAATCTGTTGATGCAGGTGTGGAAGGCGGTGTTGGAAAATTGTATTTATGGGAGAAGACTAGGGACATCAGCTCCCTTATTAGCTTATTTAGTTTTTTTTGCCCAGCTGACATCTCTCGTCTATTTTAAAGCTCACCGGAGCCCCGGACCGATGTGAGCCAGAAGGCATTTAAGCCTTTTTTTCTTGTCCTTTGTGTGAGACGCGGTCGTTTGGTAACCATCTTGAGGTTTGCGCCCTCCTCCTCTAGTGGCATATTGAAAGGGTTTTAACTAAATGGCCCATCGCTGAGGAGGTTTTATGTTC